AAATAAACTCGCCCAGAATTATTTCATCCAGAAACCTAAAGATTGGCTAGAGATGACTATTAACCAGAGGTGAAAGGAAGTACACGTCTAAAGCCAGTGTTTTAAAGTAATTGTCTCATCTATGACTTTGGAGATTTAGATTAAAATTTTTACACTATTGCGTAATATAGCGCTTATTTGTAAAGGAAAATTAGTACAAAGTGACCTTTTACATTAAAACAATCGTCACTTGGCTTCAATTCATTTTCTTCTCTATTAATTTTCCTTTCCTCTATAAAATTAACATTCTGAAATATCATTCTGACCTTCACTTGTCACATGTGTTAATAGCATTAAATGTTTAGAAATACAGAGCGATTCCAAATCATTCTTTGGAAAAAATTACATAATTTCCCAATTTGGCAATTAAGCTGGAATTAAAACATTTACAACTTCAAAACTGGGTTGGGCTACAGTTGATGAATGTGTGTCTGGAACGGCAATTTGTTTTTATCGAAAAGCCTAAAGTACATTTTTCAGTAAAAAAAAACGCTAAATAAAAATTATATTTGTAGCATCCCGACTATCACCTCTGATCTCCAATGCTATTAACAAAATAATTCTTGGACAATGCAATGCATGGAGTTCGGGCATGGAAATTCAGTACTTCGAACTACAGGGTCAAATAATAGAATATGGAATTGTCTCGAAACAATGCATTGTTGTTAATTATGGGTACCGAACTCACTTTGCTGCGCAGAGATATTGCATGTCAATATTAGCTTTTGTTCAGCATCCATAGTCCCTCAATTCTGTGAGTGAAATTACTTCGGCAGTGTTGCCTTTGATGAGAAAGCATCACGTTCAACGCAAAAATTCTGACAACATTGCTAAAGTCACATGTTCTATCGGTAAATTATCGCGCATTACTAGCGTAATATAAACTTTTTAAATTCGTGATAAGGTGGAGGAGGGTTTGTAAGTGAATTTTTAAAACAATAAGAATTTAAATCGAACCAATATCGTGCTTCAAAAATTAATGAAATGGAAAATGGAACAAATTGTAAGTATATGCTTTCACTCAAATCGTCAATGATTACCCCTTGTATAATTACATATCACAATGATCTCGTGATCGTTGCTTATTACAGCTTTTTATCAACTTAAAATCATTAAATACATATGTATGCAATCACATTTACGCTACGATGTCTTGACTCTGGGCTTTGATTTGAACCAGGTTAAAATCATTTATCCTAACCAAAATCGAAGATTGGTCTAAAACGTCAGATACTGATGCTTTTGCAGTAATAATTTCAACTATTTACATTTGCAGAAAAAAACACCCTCCCTATTTTGTCCCTTGCCCCTACACAAATCTCTCACGCGAAGTCCTTACAATTTCTTGGGTTCTTCTTCTTGATTGGCGTAGACACCGCTTACGCGATTATAGCCGAGTTAACAACAGCGCGCCAGTCGTTTCTTCTTTTCGCTACGTGGCG